ATGATAGAACAGCTTTATAGATACATAAAATTGAAGCCAGTGGTATTTTTGGAATATACAAAGAGAAGATTTAGAAAGAGCAGTTTTCAAAAATCATTCCTCTGTGCTGGTGGGGAAAAGGTTAGCTGAAGCCAGTAGAGATGTGGCTAAAGCTTTTATGGCAATTATGCTGGTCCTTTGCCAACTTATCAGCATGAACATGTTCTGCAAGTCTCAGTAATCAAAGTAGTTCTTTGAATGAGCTTCCAACACACCTATCCCTTAAGCATATGTGAAGGAAAAGATCCATTGTCATTCACAGCTTCCCACAGGATACCTACAGGAAGTGAAGCCAAAAGTTAAGGTTATTGCAAAAGCCAAAACGGATGGAGTGACAGTGGTTCTGCCTTAAGATATGTTTGACTCTTACTAGATATCTGGATCATTTGTTTACATCTACTTTTATCTTGCTATTCTAATAGTGATGTCTTAGCTCATTATTGTTAAATCTCAATAATAGAATCTAGTTATTTCTCCATAAGGTTCCTCTTCCTGATGATGAGCAAAGCATATAGACATAATACAACTTTCAGCAACAGACACCACTGTAATTTGGTTAACACACAGTGGCCTCCACAGCTTTCACAAAAGTTTCCTCATCTTATTCCTGACTATCCTGAATGAAGGAATTTATATAGTCCTGAGTCCTCTGAATAGGCTAGAGTATCTGGTCATACCATATTAATTATCTGTTGTTAGTATGTAAATGACTTTTTTCTAATACATTTTGAGGAGCATATTCTTCAAAAAATATTCCTACTTTTTAAACACTGCTCTCTACATTATTGCTTCTGCAAAATATTGTTCTACTTTACCTGGACTGATCAGGAGTTAGTGGTTTCAATTATATCCTGTAACCCTAAAGAAAATAATTCTGTCTGTAGATTATAAATGACATTTGAATTGGAAAGCATGTTTGTTTGTTTTTTCATATGACACACAGTTCTTTAAATCTACTAGCTAGATTATTTTCTTGAATTTTTAGGGTGACATCACAATTTGTCATTCAAACAATATTACTTTTGAATATTAAAGGGGTGCTATTAGTGACACTCCTCATAATAAACACTATGCCAGTAACATCAAGATGTATCCTCATCCTAGCTATTATATTTGTAAAAGTTAGTTATAATTTTGAAGGAGTTTATTGTTATTTCCTTGATTCCTAAAATTCTAATAATGAAAAAAAAGATGGATCCTCTCTGAAAAGTATCAAGGTAAGTGCTGCCAGAACTGGAAGACATCATGCTAAGCAAAATAAGTCCTGAAAAGACAAGTACCACATGTTTTCTCTCATATATGGAAAATAAATAAATAATATCCATAAGAAAAAGTAAAAGAAATAGTAAAAATAGAAAAGAAAAAAGTAGTAAAGTGCTTTCAAGATCAAACTGTCCTTCCTTTAGGCCATTTACGTTCCTAAATGTTACCTCTGTTACTGAACTGGTCACAAGATGTTGCAATTATTGGTTTGTGGTCTCAAAGGAATCTACCGTGGTTTTCTTTTTTTCTAATTGAAATACTTTGAATAAAAAAGAATTTAAAGGAATAGAATATTTTAGAAAACTTCCATCTTTAGGAACATTGATAATGAGGATTATCTGTACATCATGAGTCATCTGTGATATACCTATAGCACCACTTGCATGTTGATGTAGAATGTTGCACTTCATAAGAAAGCTCCATGCACCTGGATTAAAGGAGCAACATGATACAATGGTCAAGAAACTCAGAAGAAAGGCTGCTGGGGTCAGAATCTAGACTCTGCCAAGTACTTGTAGCTCCTTGACCTTGAAAAATTAATCTCTTTTTTTCATCTGTTTTCATCTACAAAATGAAAAATAATAATACTTCTCTCATGAAATTCTTTTTTAAAATTTTTAAATTTATTCTAATTAATTATACATGAAAGTCAAATTCATTTTGACAAATTGTACACAAATGGAGCACAACTTCTCATTCCTCTAGCTATATGATGCAGAGTCTTTAAAATAAGTGCTATTTTATATAATGAGCTTAAACAGGATTCAGTTTAAATACTCAAGAACCAATGATTGTGGGGCTGGGGATGTGGCTCAAGCGGTAGCACGCTCGCCTGGCATGCGTGCGGCCCGGGTTCGATCCTCAGCACCACATACCAACAGGGATGTTGTGTCCGCCGAAAACTAAAAAATAAATATTAAAATTCTCTCTCTCTCTCTCTCTCTCTCTCTCTCTCTCTCTCTCTTAAAAAAAAAAAAAAAAAAAAGAACCAATGATTGAGAGCTGTAGTTGTGGCTTAGTGGTAGAGTGTTTGCCTGGCATATAGAGGCACTGGGTCCAATCTTCAGCACCACATACAAATAAATAAATAAAATAAAGGAATTGTGTCCATCATCTACAACTATAAAAAAGAAATAAAATGTTGTGAGGAGTTGAACAATTGAAAAAAAAGCCAATGACTGTTTCACTGCACTGTTACTATTATCATCATTTTCATTAGTCATCATTATTAATATAAAAGATTGAGCTTCACATGCACAGATCCGTGAAGGCATATATGTAGTTGCTATACACAAAGATTCAAACTACAGCCTCATGACACCTTGCTTATTCATGTAATAACAAAATAACAATTGCACTTTAATTAAACAATAATTGAGATATGGCAATAGGACCAGGTAGCTCAAATAATTCACTTGGGAATTGGTTTAAATTATAATCTAAAGACCTGATCCAATATAGTAAAGATTATAAAGTAAATGAGAAAATTTATATTTCATCTTTATTTCCCACTTTCTTTTCCAAATTTCAAAGAGTAGAAATGCATTTATAATATTTCCACTTATTCCTGAAGGCAGAAAACAATCTTTTCTTGAATCTTGGTTCCCTTCTGTAGGTAGGACTCAGAATAATTTCACTTGGAAAGAGAAAAAAAATGATATGCATCATGAAAAAATACAATTGGATCTCCCAGAGATGGATTTATTAATTGGGAATTCACTTAATATGTAAAAACAAAAGAGGTCTTAAGATTGTATAAAAATAATTTAATGGTTTGATGTTTTCATAAATGTTCCTTGCTAAAAAAATTTTTATAAACTCTACCATAAAAGCCTCCTACATAAAATTACTAAAAGTAGATTATGGGTTATTTAAGTGTTTACTGAGAATTTGTAGCATTTTATAATGACACTTAAGTACTATCTCTCTGCTGTTTGATATTATGGTTTATAGAGTGTGTCTTTAGGAAATTTTAAATTGTTTCCATTCAGAATCAAGTCAACCAACGCATGAAGTTAATGAATTCTACAATATAGCAGACATATATCTGGCTTTTGTTTAAGTCTTAAGAGACTAATTGTTGATGATCTTAAATTGTGATCAGACATGCTTCTACATTCACAGGCTATGTGCTGCTTTCCTTTAGACTCAGCCTCTAAAAGAGACAGGTTTTTGTCTTATTTTATTTCTCTATCTGAAAGGGAAAGAATCCTTATCAAGGAAAGAATAAATCGCCACATATTACATATATCACTACACACAGTATTCGTAGGTTACTACATGACTGTAATTTATTGAAATGATAATATTGTGTTTGTATTTTCTCATACATTAATCAGGCAAATTATTTCTTTTTAAAATACTCACTGTTTTTTTCCCCCAGTTCTATTTGCTTACCCTAAATGTTGACATGCAGAACAGGTGTGAAATTGAGAGATCAGCCATTTGAAAGGGCATGGGAGCATTTGAGAAGATTGAATTTCTTACACTTTATACCTTGTGATGTTTGTTGGTTTTTAAGCTACTGAGCTACTTCTTCTGAAAACATGCCTTGCTCTTTTCATTTTCACCTTAGCCACTGAATTAAGATATGCATTATTTTTATTTCAATAGATAATAGGTATATTATTTTCAAAAAAAAAAAACGGAGTGAAGGGAATGTTTCTTGTACTAGGAAGAATTCATAAATATGGAAAGTCAATTTAATTATTAAGAGAAATAAAAAGGATTGTTTCTCTCCTTCCTACATCCCAAATCTAGTGCACCTCTGTCTTGCTTCTCCACATTCTCTTTGCCTTTTAAGCCTTGTCTTCAGAAGTTTCCTAAGCATCCCAGCTTTGATTTGGTTAACTTCACTCATTTTTAAATGAGACCTCAGAGTACCCTGTTTACATTGCAGCAACAGGAAAGAAGGTAGTTATCACTATAATTCAAGAATAAAAGAAAGGAGGTATGACTACACTTCAGTTCTATACACAAGTAGTCACTGAGGATTAATACAAACTTCTCCTCAGAGAGTGGTCAGAAGAAAGAGAACTGTATTCTTGTCTGGATAAGCAGATGGTTCAGTCAGGATGATGAGGTCTCAGGGCATGCAACAAGAGGGTTAATGTCATAAGCCATATGGAAACACAGCCCAAAAACTGAAACAGGAAGATACTTAAAAAGAATGGACACTTGAACTGTACATAGATAAGTGTGAAAAAATGATAGGAAGAGTAAAATAGAGACAACTACAGGTGTCCTCTAGGCAAAGAGGTACATATTTAACGTCACAAAGAAACAGATAGGTATAGCATATTTTGTGAAACAATGTACTTCGCTGGACTAATAGAGTATTTGAGGCAGGGGACAGTGGGAAATAAGGTTAGATGGTTTGGGTTTAATGATAAGAAGAAAGATTTACCAATTTCAGACAAGGCCAGTAATTTAATCAGGCATTGTAATTTACTGCAAAATCAGATTTTGAAGGTATTACCCAAATAATGATATATCTGCAATCCACTATTGACTTACCCCACTGCCACCTTATCTTCTTGAATATAAAGAATGGGATATAACAGGGAAAGACTTGGGGGATTTTTTTATTAAATTTCAAACAAAGTATTGCTTTATCTTTGAAAAATGAATATAATATGCATGAATTTAACAAATAGATAAATGATACAAAGTAAAAATCCTGTACTTTTTAAAGAGTTGTTTGTTTAATAAGGTTTTAGCACACTACAATTAAAGACATTTCTTACAAAAGAAGCACAAAGCCAGGTTGAAAAATCTTATGAAAATTTAATTTGCAGTTTAAAGTGGTTTGGATAAAGTGATGGAAACATTGGATTAATGACCAAATCTATTTTTAAGAAGGAAAAGAAAATTATAGTGCCAAGATTTTTATTGCAATTTTTCCCAAAAACATAAAAAAAATAAAATGAGTTTAATCAAATAAATAAAAGGAATAGTTTCAGTTGTTCTCTTCAGGTAGGTGCACAACTGTGGAAGCATCTAGAGAACATGAGCTGTCATAGTTCTTTTATACCTTGTTGCAGAATCAAAGTCTATCCTATCGCTCAGTTTCATAGGAACTGGTTAAGATGGGATTCAACAAATAAAAAATCCTTATTATGTGCTTCAGTTTACATATTCACTCAGTGAAAATTTGAAAGCAAGGTCAGATATTATAACAAATCAATAAAAGGTACTGCTTACATCTTTACTAGTTTTGCTGTTTCATTTTTATAATTTTGTTTGCTTTTTAAGTTTATCAATATGCAAAAGGGAACCTAATAGAGAAGGCAACATAATATTTATGGCTTGGAAAATATTATGAAGAAAGTACTATGAATGCTATTTGGGGGGAAAATAAAACATTTATTTTCCCCCAAAATTTGGTCTGAATACTTTTAAGTTTACCTTGTAAACCAGAAACAAAAATGTTCTGTTTCTTTTGTAAAAAGTGATAAATATATAGATACACGTATTCCTTGAAATAATTCACTATGAAATTATTGGAGCTCATCAGGAAGGCAGGGCTAGGTTTAACCCAATGTTCTTTAATATTTTAGGGTAAATGTCATTTTGTTGATTCATTTTCTCTTAGTTGAGACATACATTGTGGTATTATGGCTTATACAAATGTGCTTCTTTTTAAATAAGTGTTTGTTTGACATATCAATTAATTTTTAGAATTTTGTTTCTAAAAGTGTGAAGCCCATCAGGATGAAAGGTGACAGTTTCTTATTCAATACATAAAGGAGACATACAAGGTACCTCTGTGCTGACTCTTCTGCCACACCCTCATTTGGCTCTTTATCATTACTTTATGAGACACTGTGCCAGCAGCTATGCTTAAAAGATGATGACCCTTCCCATGATGATTCACAGCCAAATATTTATTAGCCAGGGTCTGCCAGTTATTCCTGAGACCCACCTTTCTTGTTGAACATAGTGCAATGACTAAAATAGCTTGCAAAATTCTACCTCTCCATCTAGCAATCAATAGTTTCCCAAGTTCTTATGACTATATTTCAAGTTCTTTGTTAGTAATGTTTGGAAAGTCAGTTCAATCATCAATTATTTCTCTATGGCATGCAAAAATTACACAACTATTTTTAACCCTTTGAAACTTCTTATTGTTTGATTACAAACATATGAGAAGATTTGGTAAGTAATGTTATGAAAAGTCAAATAAGAGAGATAAAAGAGGTTATATTATTCTTTGAAGGGAATAATTTCAACTCAGGCACCTGTGTTCATAAAGTAATGTAGTATTCTTTGCATTAATGAGATGCCATATTGACTAAAACTCTTTAAAAAGTAGAATTCAAACACCAAGCCAGTAAGAACTGGAAAAATGCTAAACTTAACTCCATTGTAATTTGGACCTGTCAACATAATATCAGGACAGCAGTTTGGGAGATAATTTCCAGGTACATTTATAGTATTCCCCTTGTAGTAACTGAAAATATGCTTTATCAAACAATCAAATATTTGCCCTAAGTTCTACTTCAGGATGTTTATATTTGCTCAACTTAAAGTCAAGCATTTATTTTCAATGGGACTTGAGAGTTGCATGCATTAGGAGATTGGGAAATAGTTGTGTACCTAATAAAAATTAAGAAAATCATTTACTACCAGCTAAAAGTCAGTTTTAAGTGTTTGATTCTCGTCTTCTCAAAAATACACTTATGATAGTGGGCTGATACATGCAGATTTTACTCACTGAATTTACCATTACAGGTGAATAGACTATCTCTTTTCCTCTGAAGGTCAACATTATGTGCTGTATCAAACATGTTCCTATGAAAAAGGAATCATCTCCATAGGCTCCTTTTGTGTGACTTGCTTTCATCCCTGCAGCCAAGTTAAAAGGATCATACTACATAATTAAAACTAGGAGTAGCTATGGATAATACTTAAGGAAAAGCTCCACCATAGAACAGAACACAGGGTTTTGTAGATTATAGTCCTTCAACAAATAGTTGTTGAAATAGATTGTATATAAATCCTTGCATTATCCCTAACTAAAATGACAAGTTCTCCTATTTACTTCTTTTGCCATAGGAAACTACAACAGACAAAGTCACTGCTATACTTGACTTTCATTTCTTCTCCAGTAGATTTCCACACTTAACTATTTACCTACTTAAAATTTTGAATTATCTTCTTAAAACCGTCTAATCACATCATGAATATCACCAGAGACTGTTCTCTAAATGCACCTTGGGGAATAATTTATTGCCTTACCATGAGAAAAGATAAAAGATTTTAAAAAATTGTTTGAAAGCAAAAGTAGTAACACATAGAATACATAGTTCATTTGGATATCTTTTTATTATTATCATTTAATGCCTTATGTTTATAGGTACAAAGTCATTCTGAAACAATGCTTGTGGAACTTTTAATTTAAATTTTCCACTCTGAATAATAGTTGACATTGAAATTGTTCAGCTATATTACAGTCTCTCTTTATAAGAGAAAAACATCACTTAAAGACAGGCCATCCACAAAATTTTTCAGAATAGAGAAATAATTTTCCAATTGTTTCAGTCTTGGTCAAATTTGGCTTATAAACACCCTGACTTCATAGGCATAAAAAGGTATAAGGTGTGTGTATGAAGTCTAATTCATGTGAATATAATGTGTGTGCTTTTTCAATTTAAGTTTACATATTTCAATATGCATGATTTTTTCTTATAATTATGAAATGAAATTTGAAATATTTGATCTATCAATATGTACTGATAAATGATACAGCAGTAAATGCAAATTTCGTGGTCAAGTTTAAAGGACCAAAAGAAAAAAAAATCTTCTTTCATTGTTCATGATTTATCTATTTTTAAAAGCCATAGGGGGAAAAGTGCTCTCAGGGAAAAAAAAAAAATGAAGCTTTACTGCAAAAGAAATGAATGCAAGAAATAGCACTTTAAGTAGTGAAGAGACGTGAAGCATTGCGACTTCATAGCCTGCTAAGGAGCAACAGCTGTACCTAATTTCAACTTGACGTGCTTCAGATCTCATATTCATATAGGTATTTAATGATCCAAACATAATGGTCCTATATAGAATAATTACTGATATGAAGGCGCAAACTTCATACGCATTCCTTTTTAAATGATCCTTCAAGAGAAAACCTGCACTGGCTCTTTGAACAATGAATAGTCTCTTTCACCAATCCAAATGTTTGGGGCTAAATAGCTTATCTTTTAAGAGAGAATAATAATAAGTGCCAAGGTTACTTCTTTTTGACAGACTCTTTTTGTCTCCCCTCTTCCCAGTACAGCCAGTACAATGATAAAAGGTAGAATGCCAAGCCTATCATTAAGTCATACTGATAGATGGTTACAAGAAATATCAGAAACAAAAGGAAATAAGATATTTTAGAGCTGGTGTATTTTGAGAGTAGAGACTCATTGCTTTGAGCTTGACTTTCCTGGACAGAGAGACTAGCAGAAGCAGAGCTATCAGATTCTTTGTTACTAGAAGAGCATCGCGACTGTCCAGAGTTTATTAATCCTTCATTTTCATGCCTTTCCTCTTCTGTGTTCTCCAGAGGCTCACTGATTAAAATCATTGGCCCCAGAGATTTTCCCATCCTGCATTCTCCTGGTTGAAAATTCTGGCCTATACATCTTTCTTTTCTACCATCTGATATCATTATTTCTGAACTTTTGGAAAATTCTTTGGGTTTAGACACAGCGTGATCCTGGGTTTCACTGGTTGGATTACAATTATATTCTGATTTGGTAGGAATAGAATGGGGAGTCATGGTCGCAGTTGTACTCTCTACAGCAATTGCCTGTTCACAAGATGGCACTGACACTTTAGTCTGGTGGCTAGAAACATTCTGAGAAGCTCTGCTAGTGTCTGAGTTAAAAGCAGAATAAACCAGAGCATCTAAATTTGTTTTCTTTGATAATCCTTGGACCTGTCCAAGATCTCTATTTTCTGGGATTTTTTTTTTGTCTGTTGACAACGTTCCAAACTGTAAATTCAGTTTTGACATTGCTTTTTGATTGCCTGTAATGGCCTGTGAAGATTCTTCAACCGATGTGTTATTTCCAGTGCCACATTTCTCCCTGTCGTGTGCCTTCCTGGGATTGTACATAGATGTGGTTTCCTCCTTCTCCATTTCATCTACATGTACGTTACAAATATCTAAACGTGACTCCTTTTCAAAGTCGTTGTCATCGATTACACCTGCTGTATCTCGTTGACAAAGGGTATAATGTGAATCATCATCTCTCCCTTCATGTGGATCAAACACTGTTTCTTTTACCTCGATGGGCCTGTCACTTCGTGCTGTCTCTTGAGGTAGCTTAGCAATTATTGCTTTCTCTCTAGCAGACATGCTTTCTGGAGTACTTTCTGATGTTGTCTTAATTATATAAGCTGTTCCTGCTTCTGCTTTCTCAGTAATACCATGATCAGCTAGAGAAGACAGTTCGTAACGCTCTGTTTCTTGGCAGGTAAACAATTCTTCCCTAGAAGTAGCTTTCAAATTCCTAATGTTATCTCTTTTTCTGCACATGTCTTCACAATCTGCTTGTTCTTTGATCTGCTGAGTTATATTTGTCTCACTCTCTCTTGCTTTTTCCTGACTTTCCAGAACATTCCAATATTGTTTAGGCTGTTTATTCTTATTCTGATCTTCAGGATTAATCCAACCTGATTTTTCTTCTTCAATTTGGAAACGATAATCATCCCTTAAACCATTTCCATTTCTTGGTGAGCAAGCTTGACTGGCTATCCCTTCTAAAGGAGTGCCTTCATCTCTTTCTGGACTTGTGAATACAGCGTCTTCACAATTTGGATTTTTCCTTGGTGAGGGAAAAGTGTCTGCTGTGATTGTCTGGGCCAGAACTGTAGTATCTTTGCCTAGCACAGGAAACAGGTCTCTGTTCCTAATTTCCAACCCTTCTACACTTATTTCAGGGTGGCCCATCTTTCCTTCTTGGTCATGTAAGATTGACTGAAATTTTTTGCTTTGTTTTTCATGAACACCTAAGTGTATTCTTTGTTTCTTCTCATCCATACTGTTGCTATAACCTTCTTTGGAAGTTACATTTTCTGTTGATTCTTCCAGATATGTGGATGTATCTGAATGGAAATCTCTTCTTGAACATTCCCAATCTGTTATTTCAATTTTCTTAACTCCTCCTTCATGATTCTTATTAAGGTTTTCTGCCAATAGTCGATCTGAGGAGGGACAGAATATTTGTACTCTGCCACTCACATGGGCTGGATTGGCATTATCATCTAGAACTTCTTTGCTGCCAGTATGTAATTGCACTAATTCATCACTACTGGTTTCTCCCAGTGATGACTTGATTTTTCCCAAATCTGAAGCAATTTCCTCTGAAGCTGGATGACTATCCTCATTTCCAAAGGAATATTTTTTATTGTGGTAAAAATCTCCCTTTAAGGAACTTTCTGCTGATGAACTTGGAGACAAAGGCCTTTTGAACAAGTCAGTGCATATTTCACCATGAATTTGCTTCTTCTCTAACCCCTCAGCTTTATTTGGGAAATCAACTGGATCTGTTGAAAATGTGTTCTTTTCGTCTCTTGAAGTGGCACTTCCAGTTCTTAGTAAGCGTTGATTTATCTTATGGGATAAAAACAACAAAAATAATGACCATCTGACTAAATACATTTTATTAATTTGGTTAGTAATTATCTGATAGATTTCCTTGATGCACCTCATTTGCAAAATTTATACCAACTCTGGAAGTCTGATGTTTTGGGGAGATCCTTGTAGGCTATGACTTGGGAATGAGATTAGTAAGAAAAGGGGACCAAATTAATCACTCTCCTTCCCAGGCTCCGAATATCACATTGTATTATTCACTATTCTTGCTTGTCATTGCATTTTCTCCTCACTTAGGATATACACATTGATAGCTCCATGCTAATCAATTAGAGAGCAGCTTCCTGGGTGCCCCTTGCTGCATTTACACTTGCTGTAGGTGCCCCCATTACAGTTTCTCTTATTAATATGTTTTCTGCAAAGCCTCTGCAAACTATTAATAGCAAAACGTCACTCAAAGAAAAGTGAGGGAGTTAATGTCTCTGCAAATTCTGTTTTAATGACCCTCTGCCAACTGGTACTCAAATGTATTTGAGCTCTTCAGTGATGCCAACTGTCAGGATTTAACAGTGAGATGCCTGTGTTTTTTTTTTTCCTCCTCATAACTGACATTTGCATGATCTCAATAATTATATGCAAATCTTACGTTTTCCCCTTCTTCTCACATAAGGCTCATGTTACTTGTCAACTGCACAGCTGTCTTGTAAGCCAATGCCTGTGGGTTCCACAGATTTGGTTGTATTTCCATCTATTATAGAGCTTCATTGTTTTATGCATTAACGTCAGCATGGAGCAAATTAGCATCTAAATTACTGCTCCCTGTTCATTTATTGGACGTACAATCTCAGTAACTTCTAAACAAACTTTTTTTTTTATTTGAGTCGGCTCATTGTAATGAGGTGTATTGGTGAAGTATGTGATTTTTCAGGGTACTTTCATTATATTCTGTAGTTTGAAAAAAATGGTGATGTTAACTTTCAGCTGGTGAGAATTCTCAGAATGGGTGACAACTTTGTAGTTTCTTAAAGTTGGAGCAAAGTAAATTGCATACTTTAGTGATGCAGTTGCCATATCACTATAGAAAAGGTGGAATATGTGGGGGAAAAGATAAGCTCTATTTCTTTTCTGTTTCAGCACTGACACTCGAAGAGGCAAATGTCATTTTAATCTTAGATGATTATGAATCCATGTATCCCAATGATATGAGCTCCAACCAAATACAATAAGGGATAAATTGCATTATGTGACTCATTTACTTCTATTTCTTCCTTTATGATAAAAGTGCTATCTAAACCATCCCCCAAAAAAATCCCCAATAGATTGAATGCTCACCAAGTGTGAAATTTATAACAAATTTAATACAAAATTGTACAGCACTGAATTTGTTTCCTGTTTAAAAATTATGGCACAGGCTATTTTCTTCTCACTTGGTAATTTAATACTTTACAATGATATAGAACTTTGAGATTCTCACAAGGATGGAACTAAGTAAAATGTGAAATGAAATGCTGTTAAATGCAAGGATTATAGACTTGTAGAGTTGGACAGGACATTAACAATCATCTCGTCCAGCCTTCTCATTTTACAGACGAGTTTGTGCTGAGTGTACACGTGTCACAAAGATTAGAAATGCACATCAGGAGAGTGCTACCTCTCCTACAATTCCTGTAAACTATTACTCAGAGCCTCTGGTACAGAGATAAGAAATGAATGTCATTAATTTACCACTGCAGAGACCAGAAGCAACATACTGAAATCAAAGTGCCTTGTTGATCAAGCTAGAGATGCAAGGAAAGAATAGACAGTGCTTTCACATTTGCAAATTATATTAGTTGAAGCTATTGAAAAGCAGGCATTGCAGCATCTTTGATGCATAAATGGATTCATCTTCTCTAATACCGTGGCAACCAGAACACTTACCATCAACTCTAATTCTTTTTCATTATGTTCATCATGTTCCCTGTTTACGTCTTTTACATTCTGATTACTGGTTTCCAAGTCTTCCTTGTCCTCATGAGAATAAACGATTCTTGGGATATAAGCATCTGTAAAGTTGATACAATGGCACCTTTATAAGGTTGTTTCAATTGCAGGCTTTCAAAAAAGAGAAAAATTCTGTTTAAAAAAATAAATAAGAATATTACCTGTAATCTTTGAATTATCAAAGTTATTCTCTTCTGATGTTACTGATGATTCTTCTTTACTGTTAAAATTAAAACAAAATGTTATACATTTGCCCTGGGAATACATCTTCTAAATATTTTTATACAGGGTGAAATTCAATTCAAGAGCAAGCCAAATAAACATTACAAAACATATTCACATTTTCTTTTATTACTTTGTATATTTTTAAATAAAATTGATCTTTTAGAATAATGCAAGAGCAAATACTGACTTTGTAAAAATGTTTAATAATTCCAATAATGCCATATTTCCAATCAAGATTACATTGCTCACATTAAAATTTATATAACTATAGTGAAAATGCATATAAATGTAAATTATTTTATCATTCATGAATTTAATAAGCACAAGCGAGAACATTTCTCTCTTGGTTTAAATAATGAAGTCTTATGCACTGGTAGTCCAGCTATGGTCATGAAATTACTTTCTAAGATATCAATTATTGATTTTGTATTTTATATTATCTAATTTTTTTCAACTGAATTGATATAACATTTACTCTCACTCCAGAAAAGAAGGAAAAAATTTAAAAAGCTAACTAAAAACTGAAAGGCAGCTAAATTTATACTCCATTAAAAGTTTTCATATGTGTATTGCCACTGGCCATTTTATAACCAAGACTTGCAGATAGCTCAAATGCAAGCAGATATTTTCTTTCCTTAAAATGATTCAGGTTACATTCCCTTTTTCCACTATATTCTGTATACTGATTCAACAGATTAGTACTTTTTTTAGATGTTCATTTGTTTATATTTGTGAGGTCATTAGGATTTGGTTTTTCTATAACATGCAGAAGAAAAAATATTGTTAGTGAAAATGCCCATTTGCACTGTGAAGTCCTAAGTCAATGTATCAGCACTATTTGGCCAAATGTCCATATTTTCTGGTATAGTCAGCTGAAATTTCTTCTAGTGACTTTTCCTAATGACTTTTCTGCAACAAAAGAAATCTGGAAAGTTAGTGATGGCTGATAAATTTGCCTAATAGAGTCTACTCTTCATTGCATGGATAATTTTAATCCAAATCCCAGGACGGCTATTTTTTTTTCAACAAAAACATGAGAAAATTGCAAATTTTTCCATTCTGTTATTAAGAAGGTAATTCAAATTTGTATATATTTATTTTTTTAATTGATTTCATTTTTTAAATACATGACATCAGAATTCATTACAATTCTTACAACACATAGAGCACAATTTTTCATATCTCTGTATAAAAGTATGTTCACGCCAATCATGTCTTCATACATGTACTTTGGATAATGATGTCCATCATATTCTACCATCATTGCTAACTCCCTGCCCCCTCCCTTCCCCTCCCACCCCTCTGCCCTATCTAGAGTTCATCTATTCCTCCTATGTTCTCCCTCCAAACCCCACTATGAATCAGTTACCTTATATCAAAGAAAACATTCGGCGAGAGCAATAGTAATAAAAACAACGTGGTGTTGGCACCAAAACAGACTGGTAAACCAATGGTACAGAATAGAGGACACAGAGACTAACCCTCAAAATTACAATTATTTTATATTAGACAAAGGTGCAAAGAACATGCATCAGAGAAAAGACAGCCTCTTCAACAAATGATGCTGGGAAAACTGGAAATCCATATGCAACAAAATGAAATTAAACCCCTATCTCTCACCATGCACAAAACTCAAATCAAAGGACATAGGAATTAAACCAGAGACTCTGTGTCTAATAGAAAAAAAAAAAAAAGTAGGCCCTAATCTTCATCATGTGGGATTAGGTCTTATTAAGGAAGACTCCTATAGTGCAAGAATTACAACCAAGAATCAATAAATGGGATGGACTCAAACTAAAAAGTTTCTTTTCAGCAAAAGAAACAATCTGTGAGGTAAATAGAGAGCCTACATCTTGGGAGGAAATTTTTATCCCTCACACATCAGATAGAGCACAAATCTTTAGGGTTTATAAAGAACTCAAAAACTAAGCCTCCCAAAAATAAATAAATAAATAACCCAATCAATAAATGGGCCAAGGACCTGAACAGACAATTCTCAGAAGAGGATATACAATCAATCAGCAAATATATGAACAAATGCTCATCATCTCTAGCAATTAGAGAAATGCAAAACAAAACTACTCTAAGATATCATCTAACTCCAGTCAGAATGGCAGCTATTATGAAGACAAACAACAATAAGTGTTGGTGAGGATGTGAGGAAAAAGGTATATTCATACTTTGCTGGTGGGACTGCAAATTGGTGCAGCCAATATAGAAAGCAGTATGGAGATTCCTTTGAAAACTGGAAATGAAACCACCATTTGACCCAGCTGTCCCTCTCTTCGGCCTATACCCAAAGAACTTAAAAACAGCATACTACAGGGACACATCCACATCAATGTTTATATCAGCACAATTCACAATAGCTAAACTGTGGAACCTACCTAGATGCCCTTCAGTAGATGAATGGAATTTTAAAAATGCGGCATATATACACAATAGAATATTACTCAGCAATAAAGGGAATAAAATCATGGCATTTGCAGGTAAATGGATGGAGTTGGAGAAGATAATGCTAAGTGAAGTTAGCCAATCTCAAATTTGTATATATTTATAATGTTTTATTTTAGCTTTACTAAAAACATTTAATATCTTGTGTGGCAATGTAAATGAAAATGATGTTTATGTAAAAATAATTTCATAAGAAAATACAGTTTTCATAATTGATACTGAATTGAACTATAAATTTATATTGCTTAATGAAGCATATAACTATGAAATGATTTATTTTTATGGAATCCAACAACAAACTGACCTACCTTTCCTTCTCCAAGTACATAATGTATATGTGTTCAAAATATTTAGAGACCATATTTAGAGCATTTAATTGTTCCTGCTTCCTCTTTATTCCCATAACAATACAGAAAATCTCATTTGTAGAGGGAAAAATCATATCTAATGAATGATTTTGCTTTTATCTAGCCAAAATACTATCGTTCATACACACACACACACACATAATATATATATATGTTCAATTGTTTTAATATTTTCTTTTTTTTAGTTGTTGATAGACCTTTGTTTTATTTATTTATATGTAGCACTGAGAATTGAATCCAGTGCCTCACATATGCCAGGCAAGTGCACTACCGCTGAGCCCCAACCCCAGCCCCCAGCCCCAGTCCCTAATTCATTCTTTAAAATAATTTTTTTAAAGTAATAGAGTCAAAAGGAAAGGAGTCTGCCTTTTAAACCCATTTTAGGGACAAATGTTTAGGGATTCAACTGTACTTTATTTATGGTAGTGTCTTAGAAAAACATGCAAATACAGATATATAGGGAAAAGTTTGCATTCAGAGGTAAACACAAGGAAGAAAAGTAAAAACAAATGAAATTTATATATTATATGAAATACATGTAGGCAAAAAGTAATAGGAAGTGTACAAAATTCTTAAAGGGAAAAGAATAAAATTATATTAAGATATATTAAATTAAGTAATATACCATATTCATAGATAGGAAAGACATATTAGGAAGATATTAGTTCTCTCCCATATTGATCTAAAAATTCAATCCTAATCACAATTTAAAAACTTTATAGCATAATTTGGAAGTATGAGTCCAAAGGGAGAAAAAGGACTAATGATAGCTGGAATATTTCTGAAAGATAGAAAAATAGGAGGAGGAACTTCCCTTAGCTGATTTCAGAGTTCCTACGAAGATTTAGCTACTGAAACAGTAAGTACTGGTTAAGGGGAAGACAGACTGATCAACAAAATAGTACTTAGAGCTCAGTAACATAATAAGACATTATCTAAAACCTCGGTATATGGCAAATGTAGCATGTCAAATGATAGGGAAATAAAGGATTAGTCAGTTTAGGGAGACAGGGGAAATGACTTCCCTTATGGAAAAAGATGAAACTGGCACAATGCATCTTGAAAATTTAACTCCACATGGATTAAGACCATAAATGTCAAAAATCTTAAAATTCTTAGAAATATATGTGAATATCTTAGACCTCAGAGTAGGAAATATTTTCATACATAAGAAAAAAGAAAAAGTAGTCCACAAAAATCAGTTAGTGTAACTCTATGAAAATTTAAATATGGTGTCTTAAAAGACTTTATAAAAACACAAATTCCAAACTAGGAGAAGATGTTTATATTACACAAAGTCAACACAAATAAGAATTAAGAGTATACACAGAGAGAACTCCAAATCAATAAGAAAGCACAAACAATTCATTTGGAAGTGAGAGGGCAGACATTTCACAAAACAGAAAGGACATGATCAATCAACACAAAGAGATGATGGGCCCTGCTAGAGAACAGAGAAATGAAAATCAAGATAAAAAGGCGATAGCCTTTTATATGCATTTAATTGGCAAAAATTTAAAAGATACCAAAAGTGGAAGATGTTTTGGAGACACAGGCTTCTTGCACACTGCTGGTGGTAGAATAAATAGTGAAATCTACTTTGGAAAACATTTTGACAGGTGCCTTTCTCTAAAATTTAATATTTATATAATCCATAACTACTGCATCTACTCCTAGGCAACATGTGAGTCAAAATATTTTTCAAACTGGCTTTCTAGACTAAATTAGATGATGCTTATATATAAAATTCTACTCTGAAATTCAAAATGTCAGTCATATGATCTAGCATATCAGAGTTTAATTCAACACCTTAAGTAAATCTGATGAAGATGACAAACTTGATTATTGATGATAAAAGGGACCCAGAAATATATATATATATATATATATATATATATATATATATATATATATATATATATGATTGTGTTAAAAGTGAAATGCATTTTTTAATATTTCCCATCTCCCCTTTATATTCCCTGAGTCCTTTTTGAACAGGTGACTTCTTTACTTTTCTGTATTCTCAGTGGTTAACACAGTGCCTGGCACATAATAGTGGCACCATAAGTGCTATTGAATAAGTAAGCTATCCTTTCTATCCCTCCCTTTTTCTTTTTTTTTTTTTTTTAGTTTTAATTGATTTTAAAAAATGACAGCAGAATGCATTATAATT